CCGCGCCGGGCATGGAGCTGGCAAGCCCGCGCTGAGGCAGGACTCGCCTGCTAGCAGCCAGCGAGAGGCTCTCCGCCGTCCGGCGCGCGGGCTCCCCGGCCGGGGCCGGGCAAACTTTTCTTTCTCTTTTGCCGTCTCCAGAGGTAAAGTCCCGAATGCGGACTCGCCGGCGGGGTTGCGATTCGACACAGCGGAACGGGACCCCGGGCTGCGGGGAGGAGGGGGCGCGCGCCGTGCGGGCTCGAGGGGGGGGAGGCACGAGCTCTCCTGTGTCCGAGATTTGGGATACTGGCGGGCCGGCCGCGGACAGGCAGACGGGCGCGGGCATGACCCTCGGGCGGCGTGGAGGCGGTGGTGGCGGGGAAGCCGAGTGATCGCCCGCGGTCCCGACTCGCCGCCGGCAGGGAAGAAGAGGCGCGGGCCGTACGGGCTTGGGGGGGGTCCCCGGATTTGCCTGCCCCCGGGACGCGGGGAAGCGAGGCGGGCGTTCGGCCGCGGGCTTGGTGCCGGGGAAGCCGGGCGTTTGCCCGCGCCCCCGCTCGCCGCGCCCCCGGCGGGTGGAGGGAGCGGGGCGGGCTGGCTGAGTGCGGCTCCCCTCTCTCCGCAGGCGCCTTCTGCGGCGGGCAGAAGACTCTTCGGCGCGGCGGGGCCGGGGCCGGCTGGACGCAGCATGATGCGCGCAGTGTGGGAGGCGCTGGCGGCGCTGGCGGCAGTGGCGTGCCTGGTGGGCGCGGTGCGCGGCGGGCCCGGGCTCAGCATGTTCGCCGGCCAGGCGGCGCAGCCCGACCCCTGCTCGGACGAGAACGGCCACCCGCGCCGCTGCATCCCCGACTTTGTCAACGCAGCCTTCGGCAAGGACGTGCGCGTGTCCAGCACCTGCGGCCGGCCCCCGGCGCGCTACTGCGTGGTGAGCGAGCGCGGCGAGGAGCGGCTGCGCTCCTGCCACCTCTGCAACGCGTCGGACCCCAAGAAGGCGCACCCGCCCGCCTTCCTCACCGATCTCAACAACCCACACAACCTGACGTGCTGGCAGTCGGAGAACTACCTGCAGTTCCCGCACTACGTCACGCTTACGCTGTCTCTAGGCAAGAAGTTCGAAGTGACCTACGTGAGCCTGCAGTTCTGCTCGCCAGGCCGGAGTCTATGGCCATCTATAAGTCCATGGACTACGGGCGCACGTGGGTGCCCTTTCAGTTCTATTCCACGCAGTGCCGCAAGATGTACAACCGGCCGCACCGCGCGCCCATCACCAAGCAGAACGAGCAGGAGGCCGTGTGCACTGACTCTCACACCGACATGCGCCCGCTCTCGGGAGGCCTCATCGCCTTCAGCACTCTGGACGGGCGGCCCTCGGCGCACGACTTCGACAACTCGCCCGTGCTGCAAGACTGGGTCACGGCCACCGACATCCGCGTGGCCTTCAGCCGCCTGCACACGTTCGGAGACGAGAACGAGGACGACTCGGAGGTGGCGCGCGACTCGTACTTCTACGCCGTGTCGGACCTGCAGGTAGGCGGTCGCTGCAAGTGCAACGGCCACGCGGCCCGCTGCGTGCGCGACCGCGACGACAGCCTGGTGTGCGACTGCAGGCACAACACGGCCGGTCCGGAGTGCGACCGCTGCAAGCCTTTCCACTATGACCGGCCCTGGCAGCGCGCCACCGCCCGCGAGGCCAACGAGTGCGTGGGTGAGTGGGGCGCCGCGGGGACGCGGGCGGCGGGCGGCGGGCGGGGACCGGGGCGGCGGCTCCTGAGTCTCGCGACCGCGGGTTCTCCGGAGCGCCGGTGGACTCCGCCGCTGAGGGTCGCCAGCTGCGTGGATGTGGGAATGGTGGGAGGCGCGGGTGCAGTGTGAGTTTGGGGTGCCATCAAGAAGGCATAGCTGATGGGGCCGTTGGGGATTGCTTCCTGAGTGCCTCAGGCTGGTGAACGATGCTGGGGTCTGCCTTGGCCTTTTTAGGTGGTTCTGAAGAAACTCATTGAAATGGCCTTTCCATGAGGAGATGCTGTCCTGGCTCCCTCCGCGGAGGCTCCACACGCTTGGCGGCTCTTCTTGGAAACACTGGTTGCCAGAGCAGCTGTGTCAGCCTGGCTTCCCCAGAAAAGAAGGGAAAGCCAGCAGGGTGCCCTCTGCTAACCCAGGGGCCTCTTTCCAGGAGACGCTCCCAAGAGCAAACCACGCAGGAAACGAGAACCCGATAGCGAGGAGATGACAGTGGAAAAACAAGGAGGCAGAGAAGAGAAGGCAGGAAAACTGAGAAGGGCTAGGAGATGCGAAGGGCTTAAGAGACATTCTCTCTGAGGACAGGCCTTGCTTTGCATGGACAGG